AACTATTGGTTTTTTTTGGTTCCTTGGGATCTTGAATATAATTTTCTATTTCTTTTTCTATAATTAAATTAATATTTTCGTTATTTAATTGTGTTTGTGTTTCTGTACTCCATTCCTCAACCATTGACCACATATCATTTCCATCAGTATTTACTTCAGGAATAGTATTTATATTTATTGGTTCTAATGGTAACTGATATTTAATAATTTCATTTTTCATAGCGATTTTCAAATTTTGGACCTGATGTTCATTTAAAAAAGATGCTTTTAATCGTGGATCGACTACCATACAAAATAATAAAGTTGTGTTATCTTTAAATGAGGGAAAATGTGACGTTATACTAATGCTGACTTTAGATGCAAATGTGCGAACCTTTACATTTGAATTATTTTGCTCTAGATCTCTTAAGGTTTCAATAATATAATGTAAATAAAAAATAATGCTCGCTGCTGTAGGGAATGAAGAGCTACATAAATCATTTGTAGCCTTGTATAATGGTTGTAGTACGCACAACAAACCTTCAATTGTTGAATATTGATCCCTTGTTAGATTATCAATTTTGCTATTAGACTCAATTAAATCAGCAGAAATAAATTTTTTTAATTCATAAATGCGCTGAAGCATTAAATATTCTGAGTTCCAACGAGTCTTAACATCTTGGATTAGCATCAATGGTGGAGATATATTTTCTTTTTTTTGAAGTTCAAAAAGCCTTGCCTTAGCAGTCGAACTTCGCTTATAATGGCCAACAATGGACCTACAAGCTATTAAAAGTGCTTCTAAGTTAGATGTACTTTTTTTGGCATCGACTATTGCTAATTGCAATGAGTGTGCTACGCATCTTAAATGTTGCCAGGTATATCCATCAGGAACTTTTTTTAATGCTGCTACAAGGTTCGGCGCATTGTCAGTTATAAAATACATAGGTATATCTTTACAAAATGACCATTTTTCAATTAATCTTACTATAAGATTGTTTAGATTAGTTGCAGTATGTTGATCTTTGGAATGTTCGAGATTTAGTGTAATGTGACGAAGTTTCCATTCTTCTGTGACATAATGGACTGTTAAAGATATGTAACTTTCATTTGAACGAGAAGTCCATCCATCTGTTGTAAATGACAAAGATCTAACACTTTTACATTCATTAGTAATGATACTTCTAACATGATTTACAGCTTTTTCAAAAGCGTTTGGAATATGATTCTGAGAAAAATATTGCCTTGATGGAACAGTATACCTTGGTTCAGCTTTTCTCATAAGTTCTAAAAATGCAGGCTCTTGGACAATAGAATAAGCATGGCAACCTTGAATGATAAACCTTGATACACTATCATTAAGTGCCTTTACATTTGGATTTGTTTTTGCCCATGCTTGATTTAGGTTTATAATTTGTGGCATTGTCGGTTGAGACATTTTAATTTTTTTAGAAGCATTTTCAGTTTTTATTAAGTCACTCATATCATTAAACTTTTCAAATATTTTTTATGTATTTTTAGATGATTTATCATAGATTTAGTTTGACTACATTTCCTTTTTATTTGCACTCCACACTCTAAACATTTACCTCTTTCAACACCAGACTCATCTTTGTCACCAAGTGTGAAAAACTTCCAAATTAAAACTTTTTGTCGTTTATTTACAATAAGTATAGATGCATTTTCTGTTGACTGATTAAATACTGGATGCATATTATTAGTCGATGTTGATGCAACTGATGTATCTAATTCCTAATCAGACATATCAAAAGACACGCTTTGAGACGACATAGTGAACTAAAAATATTAAATAACAAATATTCAGTTATTCACAAAAATTGGTATGTCATATTGACATTTTTTAGAATATTACTGACAGAACTGTCGTTTTTATGAATCATTTATGTTAATCCATTTTTTATTATCTTAATATTTATTATTTACATTATATTTGGTATGTACTTCAGTTAAATATTCTTAGACATATTATTCATTTAATATTTTTAATAATTATAAAATACTAAATTGAGTAAATAGTATATTCAAAACTATTAAGTTAATATTAGTTAATAGTTAATACTGTTAATAGTTATTAATTATTATACTCATTTAACAAAAGATTTTTTTTATAAGAGTTTGATAAAGGTAATTATTTAATATTAATTAATAATATTATGTTTTTAATCAGATTTGAAATTAATAATTATTAATTTTATTAAAATCCAGACAAATGCATAATACGTCTATAGGTACCTACTATTTATTGTTTAATGTTTAATGTTTATTATTTATTTAATTCTACAATGTAAGTACTTAAATAGTTAATAATATACCTAATCATATTTAATAAAATAGTATTTATACTTTAAATATTTATTTACCTTATAATCGAATTATTTTGACAACATACAAACTATTTGTTAACACACAAAACTATATAAATATAAAATGGTAGACCACAAACAAATCAAATGCAACACCACAATCGAGGTACGTAATCGAATGACAAGCATTAAAAATAATTATTACGACTAACGGCTGGTGGTTAGTGTGTGTATTTGGGTGGTAGTGGTAATCAATCGGTATAAACACTATAAACTATAAAATGTCGTTTTCATAATAATAAATATATATATAAAATATAGCAATAACAATCCTAGAATTCTTATCGCGAATACTACTTGGGTTCTCTCAGTTATTTATAGTTTCAACATTTAATAATTATTTTTACATAATATAGTGAAACACTGAAACAAGTACTCGATTCAATTCGAGTATTTGGTTCAAGTCGAGTACTCGATTGAAGTCGAGTACTCGTATTTACGAGTACAAAATTTTTTTTAGTCGAGTACTCGAACAACACTAAAGAATATGAATAAGAAAAACAAATTATCTTACTAATAGTATCTTTAATTTTATCACTGTCGATGTCGCAGCTTTCCAAAATATTCAGATGTAGGTTTGAAGTTACAAGATTATCACCATTATCTTCTAGAAATAAAAAATATAGTACTAAACATAATAAAACACTAATTTGTTCTTAGGTAAGGAATAAATTCCAGGTAAAATATTCGAAGGTAGGTACTTAAAGGTTATTTTAAATTTACTGTCTTACTACTAATTTATATGGGTATTTACTCCCTTTGTTTTACCTATATTAACATTAATACGGCCATCACTAGAATTTATTATAGAAAAACGTATTTGTACTTTAAGAATTTCTAGTGTGATATTTGACATGAATGTAAGGCAATTGTGAGATTTAATTTAATTTATCGATCTTCAAGAGTTTAAAATAATTAACTTAACAATATAATCATCTTTTTGTAATTAAAAAAATAAAATTGTTGATCAATCTTTCATGAACATTGTAATAATATGATTTATAGGAAAAGCTTACAAAGTAATAGGTATTCAAATAATAAATAAGTTATAAGTATGTCTTAAAATGGATCTCAACGTTTTTTTTCGGGACGTTTATTTTATATTAATTAAAGCATAATAACTTACTTTATAATTAACTGTGTTTTCTTTTACCTCTAAAATGCTAAATTCTTTTGAATTTTCATTGATTACATTCTGATCAACTAAATATTAATAATAAAGGTAATAATATAACAATAATATAATACTTAAAGGTAATAATATGGTTTCTATCAAATCAACATTGATTTTTGAATAAATTGTAAGGTAATTTCTTTAATGTATAAATTATATTATAGGCATAGTGGTGAACCCAAGTGTAATGATGAATAGTTATTGAGACCAAATATTTTTTGGAGAAATATTACTAGTAGAAAAAAAATAATTTTAAATCTCAAGATCCCAATGCCAACTAATGCCAAAGGTCTGCCAATCTCATATCGATCAATAAATTCAAAGCTGCGAACCAACTAGTTAGAAAGTTACTTTTAAAGCCACTTTCCAACTTAACTAGTTGGTTTTAATTCATAATAACTTTCTAACTTAAGTAGTTGAATTTAATGCAAAAAATAACATAATCTAACTCATTAGAATCAAAAAGTATCAAAAAGTTAATTTTATAGTTTATTTAACACTGTAAAAATCCTTGTGGCCTAAAAAAACATAAGACTGCCGAGTGCTGACTGGATATTAATAATTAATATTTGTAGTATTTTGTGATTGATAAATTTAGTAAGATATAGTTTAATTTCAATACTTTTTTTTTTTTTTTTAATTTAGCTTTATTTGAATAATTTCAATCTATACAGCAGTACAATAAGTAATATTAATAATTTACAGATAATAACATTTAATTGCGCTTGAAGAGTAAGTCACACATTTGTGATACCTCGCGATAGTATTATTAATTTGTTGGTTCTTAAGTTTTCAAGTCACGGCACCATTTTCTTTTGAGACATCTGGTTGGGTTACCAGGGAGAGTCAGTGAAGCTAACTCTTTGATTAGTTGGTTGGGAATATTTTGAAGTTTGGCGTGGAAACGTTAGTAATAGATAGCAGTAGTTTCATCGATGGAAGGTAATTTTAGGTCGGAATTTAAGGTAGCGTTTGAAACGAACCAGGGTGCACCAGTGATAAGCCGTTAACAAATGTTTTGAAATGCTTGTATAGTTCTTTTATTTGAGGTATTAGTAGAGCCCCAGATTACGATACCATCAGGCACGTAGCTAAAGGAGGGTCAGGGTGTGCCTGGCCCACATTAATATGTGTCTGGCCCACCTAAAGTATTGAGGCTCATTTAAGAGGCTCATTATTATATGATTGCTTGTAATTTTTACCAAATTTTTAATATTGCCTAAATATGACGCAAATAAAACCAAATACATCGGGTTTTAATTATAATCTAAGTAATATAACTTGTAACTAAATTTAAACGATCGATTAGGAAATAATTGCTATTTTTAGCTAAATACTGGTACTATACTACAATGTCAAGTTGTTCTTATCATATCTAGACGTGTAGTCGGAAGAAGCTGATAATAAGGCGGTATCATCAGCATATGTTCCTACTGTGGTATTTTCAGAGGTAGGTAGGTCGGATGTATATATGGCCGGATGGCTTACCTCAGCCAAGCAAATCTGAACAATTTAATAATAGAGAGTATCTCAAGGAAACAAATTATGATTTAGTAGCCTTAGAAGACGTCGTAAGAAACAATGAAGAATCTCTGAATGACGAACAAAAGTTTGCTTACAATCAAATTATTACAAGTGTTAATAATAATGAGGGTCGAGTATACTTTTTAGATGCTCCAGGTGGAACTAGAAAAACTTTCTTAATCAATTTGATTTTAGCGAAAGTTAGAAGTACTTGCGACATTGCCTTAGCTGTAGTATCTTCTGGAATCGCAGCAAAACTGCTCGAGGGTGGTCGAACGGCCAATGCTACCTTCAAATTACCACTCAATCTAACAACTTCGGCCACTCCCTTTTGTAATATATCAAAACAAAGTAATTTTGCGGAAGTTTTAAAAGATACAAAATTAATAGTGTGGGACGAAATTATAATGGCGCATAAGAGTGGTGTTGAGGCTTTAAATAGATCTCTAAAGGATATAAGGGAAAATAAAAGGTTAATGGGTGGTGTAACGGTTTTACTGGCTGGAGACTTTAGGCAGACTCTACCAGTAGTACCAAAAGAAACCAGAACTGATGAAGTCTAGTCATGTCTTAAAAGACCTACTTTTGGCCTAAGATTAATATACTCAAACTGTCAAAAAATATGAGGGTACACTTGGGAGAGGAAAAGTTTGCTGGTGGATTTTCAGATCTTTTACTTGAAATTGGCAATGGTGATTATTCATCGTTTGATGAAATGATGACTATCCCAGAAAATTTGTGTACAGTTGTAACTAAGATTCAGGATTTAATATCAAAAATTTATCCAGATATTGCTCATATTCATGATAAGCCTATGGAATGGTTGTGTGAACGTGCTATACTCACTCCAAAAAATGACCAAGCGGCGGCTATCAATGATACACTGCTAATGTTTTTTGAAGGAGAAGAAAAAGTATATACTTTTACAGATACAGTGGTCAACATGGACGATGCAACTAATTATCCGGTTAAATTTTTAAATTCATTGAAACCACCGGGCATGCCATATCATAGGCTTATTCTGCGTGTGGGCACACCTATTATGTTGTTGCGAAATTTGAAACCACCTAAACTGTGCAATGGGACCAGGCGTAAAGTCAAAGCTTTACATCGCAATATAGTAAAAGCCACAATTTTAACAGGATGTGCAAAAGGGGAAACTGTGTTTGTACCACGAATCCCTTTAATTCCGAATGATCATCCGTTCGAATTTAAACGATTACAGTTTCCCCTGAAAGTCTGTTTTGCAATGACTATAAACAAGTCTCAAGGCCAAACTCTTAAATTTGCAGGAATAGATTTGCGAGAAAACTGTTTTTCACATGGGCAGTTCTACGTAGCTTGCTCACACGTAAGCTCACCCAGTAGCTTGTTGATTTTGTCGCCTACTAATAGATCAGTGAAGAACATTGTTTACAAAGAAGTTTTGTAGATAACATATTGAAAAACTATGAGTAAAACATTTATTTTGAATCTTTAGTGCTAAAATTTATCGTGAACAAAGCTTCTGCCGCCAAAAGCTATAACTTATCGAATAGGTTATGATAATAATCATTATCTTAAAAACTAAATTAATATGTATAAAATATTATTTCAAAAATCTTAGTTAATTTAAATTTCAATAGATTTAACAAAATTTAATCTTGGCAGGTTACATACATTTATATACTTAAACCCGGCAACGATGGGTAATTCAGCTAGTATGGTGTATAAAAATGGAACTATGCTACTTCCTTGAGGGACACCAGCAAAGATAGGATATTGATTTGAGTGTTTCAGGTTGTAACGAACGTTAAATGAGCGGTTTTCAAGGTAGAATTTTAATATTAGGTATAAAGAGGCTGGAAAAATATTTTTGAGTTTGTAAAGAAGACCTTCGTGCCATATAATGTCAAACGCTTTAGCAAAATCCAAAAAGACTCCGGCACAGTAATTTTTTGGTTTCGAGTGCTGATGAGATGATGTTCACAACCCGGTGAAGTTGATGAGTTGTAGCATGGTGAGAACGAAAGCCAAACTGGAAGTTTGGGATACTGTTATTTGCTTGTGCTATAGTGGTTATACGCTTGAGAATATTTTTTTCACGAATTTTTCCTTATACCGAAAATAGACTAATGGGCCTATATGAGGAGGGATTTTCTGGAGGCTTGCCAGATTTGAGAATGTAACAATGACTGAAGATTTCCAGGTAGTTGGAAAGTACGATAAACGAAGAGCAGCATTATAAATATGTTAGATGAACGATAACTTTCGTTGGGAAATTTTTAACGACTTTGTTGGAGATAAGGTCATGACCTGGGGATTTGTTGTTTACCAATTTTTTTTTATAATTTTCTCTATCTCCTCTGGGGAGGTTGGCCTTACAGGAAGAGGCATAGGTAGAGTTGCCTGAAAAGACTCCATGACTGACGACATATATGATTCTGGTGTGGAAATGAGAAGTGGTTTGAATATTTCTGACAGTTCTTCGGCTAACATATCTGCTTTTTCCCTGTTTGTGATGACAAATGAGTTATGTGGGCGGCGTAATGGAGATGGGATGTCCTTAAACCGTAAAATTGACTTTTTTTTGCGCCACAGAGATTCATTTTTAAAGGAAAGGTTTAGTATGTAATTTTTGTACAGATTGGTTTTGTGAGTTTTGAGTAAAAACTTAAGTTTGATAGAAAGATAATTGTAGTTTATCTTGTCCTACGGGTAGTGTGTTTGTTGCCATTTAGATCTAGATCTAAGTTTTTGAGCGATAAGTTGTCTTCATTCCGGAGAAAGATTGGGTGATTGAGGATAGTGAAAATTCTGAGTAGAAGAATCTTTGGCGGATTTTTTAATGTAATCAGTGAGTTTGGAAATTGCTTGATTGACATCGGTAGATAATTTTAATTTGGTATTAAGAATTATTTTGTTTGATATAGTAATTTTGAATTAGTTCTAGTTTGTAAAGCCCAGAGTAATGGTAGGTATATTTTTCTTCAAAGAGGGTTGAACTCCGATAAGTAGCAGGACAGGTGTATGATCAAAAGCCGGATCGTATAACTACGATTTCGGTGAAAAAATGATTAGAAAAATTAGTGATGAAATAGTCAAGGTAGTCTGGGTGACGGTTGTTGTGTGATGGCCAGTACGTCGGAGAGAGAGGTGTTATTATGAGGTTAGTTATGAGGTGTTATTATTATTTTGAGGTGTTTGAGCAAGATGAAATTTTGAAGAACTTGGCCCTTGGTGTTAGTATAGCGGCTCCAAGTTTGGTATTTGGCGTTGAAGTCAGCACCAATAATATGGGTGAAGCTTAAAGTTTGAGAGAGAATACCTAATTCAGCCGAGGGAAAAGGTCTACCTGGGGGAAAATAGCATGAAGAGATGGAGATGGTTTGAGAGTTTATTTTTATTGATATGCTTGCTGCTTGAATATTTGTAGACATATATGGTAGAAGGAGGAAATTATGAATTTAATTAGAAACGAGGAGAGCAGCACCTCCATGTGCAGTACCATCTGGGTAATCAGCTCTAATAATATTGTAACCAAATATCTTAAGTGAAGAGGTTTTAGTTTGGTGAGTTTCCAAAAAAAGTGCTATTATGATTTTTTTTTCATTTAGAACTAGTTGTAATTCATTTAAATGTTGTAAGATGCCGTTTGCGTTCTATAGAAATATGAAGAGTGGTTGTAAGTTATTTTTTGGCATTATTTATAAGTTTATTAATGACTGTAGTAAGAAGTGAGATAAGAGGATTTATTAATTCTTTAAATTCATTGATAAATGATGAGAGTTGAGCTGACATATTTTGGTTGTGGTTTTGATTGGAGTTGGTGTCTTGAGTATGAGAAGAAGAATCATGGTTTAATAGAGGAAAATGTTGTGAGTAAGCTTGGTGCGTAGTTTCGTGGGTGATAATTTGTGTTGGTTGATGTGGAATGGAACTTTTATTCGAGATTTTTTTTGAAGGGTTCTTTAATAATGTTTTTTTAAGATCTAGGTGAGATTGACAACCCTTAAAGTTGGCTGTGTAGTTGTCACTGCATAAAACGCATTTAGCTGAAGAGCTGCGTTCTTTTGTACATGCTGTTGTCTCATGTTGCTCACCGCAACGGACACACCGAGGGTAGTGATTACAATAATTACGAGTGTGACCATAATTCTGGCAACGGTGACATTGCGGAATTTCTTTTTTATGATGGGGAGTTTCAACTTTGATTTTTGTATAACACAATGTAGTTAATTTGAAAATATCGGAGTTCCTTGGACTCGGTTTTAAATCAATATAGAATATCGGAAAGGGGGAACCAGTAATCTTGTTAGTTACAGGCATTATGTTTCAAGTGATAAATCCTATGTTTAATAGTTCTTGTTTAATAAAAGAGGTGTCGATTGAATGATGCAAGTTTCTAATTACGACTTCTTTTAATTGAAATGTGTGAAAAAAGACATTATTTTTCTTGAGGTAAGCGACGACTGAACGATAGGAGTCAGGACTACATGTTTGGAGTTTTATACCTTTGGTAGAGCTTTTGCGATCAAATCCAGATTCATCAGTTAATTGTTTAATCTTTAGAAAAAAATGATTGTAGTTTATTTGTTCTTGAATAAATATAGGAGGGGGTTTAGAATTTTTATTTTCGTTGATAATCGAATTTTTATTTATAGTTTCCACTGGTAGAGGTTCATTAAGAGGAGCAATCGGAGAAAAACGGTTAGCTGAGATAAAAATATTGGTGTCTGGTTTTTTTGTGCTGGGAGAAATGCTGTTTGGTGATCTTGGACGTTTTGAGTTTGATGAGACTATTTGCCAGTCTGGATCGTTGTCACAATGGTCCGATGGGCTATTGGTGCCCGTTTGATCTATTAATGTTTTGGGGAGAATTAACGGTGGTATAGTTTTATTTGCTGTGTGTTTATTATTTGGTGATTTGGGATTTTTGTTAATAATATAATGAGGTTATTTATAGGTTGGTCTTGGGTTAAGATTAGATAAATTACCTGCGGTACTATAGTACCGCGCTACGAGCGCAGGGTACGACGGACAAAACACACGTAATCTAGCTGATAACCGAGCAAGTGGCAATTAACGTGTATGGTGTCTATACACGAATTTCAATACTTTAGGTACTTATTATATAAACAAATGGTTTTTTAAATTCATATTTTAAATATTATTAATATTTAATATTACAAAAAAAAAACTAACTTCTACTGTAACTTAAGCTACCTATTTTTTTTCATCAAACTAATTTCCAACTAACTAATTTATAAAAGTTAAACATTTCATAAACTTACTTATATTCCAATTTTATAAGTTTATATGTTAAAGTAACTTAACTTTAACTTGTTGAAAAAAATGACTAACTTGCCCAGCTTTAATTAATACAAAATAGTACAAAAATAAGTAGGTACCTAATCATTTTGTTTTTAATATAAAAATAGTTAGACAACACAAAATTTGGTAAATCAAAATCCTATTAGACGCTATATATCAATTTTTAAGCTCTGTTCATACGGTCAAATAACTCCTCAAATATTTGACGAATTATTTGGTCATACGAACGAGGGTTTACAGTTAATAATAT